CAAAGCTGGTGTTGGAAAACTACTACAAATGGACTTTCCTAATGTGATATTGTGGCATTGCCTCAACCATAGACTGGAAACTTATGTTGATGAAGCTTTAGAAGTCACTGGAGGCACAAATGACTTTAAGGCTTTTTTGGATGCATTATATATCTTGTACAGTCAATCACCAAAAAACTCTCGTGAACTGAGTGCTCATGCCAATGAATTACACATTGTACTTCAAAAAATCAGCAAAGTAAATGAAGGACAACTAGAATAGCCTTCATGAAATATACAAGATACTTAAAGAAAATGTTGTCAATTTCAGCCTCTACAGGACACTGAGGACTGGTCCACACTGGGGCGGGGGATCGATCTAGGAAACACAACTTCAGCTACTAGAATAGCGTAGCTGAAGTCGACGTTTCCTAGATCGAACTAAGTTTACTTACTGCGGGTCCACGCGGCGCAGGCAAGCTCCCCCGTCGACAGCGCTTCCTTCTCTCGGCGAAAAGGAGTTCCGCAGTCGACGGGGGAGCGCTTCTGGGATCGATTTATCACGTCCAGATGAGACGCGATGAATTGATCCCAGAAGATCGATCTCTATCTGCCGAATCGGGAGGGTAGTGTGGACCTGCCCTGAAACAAAACAGAATGAGATCTGAGATTGCGCCCGTATGTCCTAATGACATTTCAGGTGTTTAATTCAATATATAAATAGGATGGAATGGAAACTATTTTTTCTTTCAAAGGCAGCACAATAATTTCCCTAAATAGCCAGTTTTTTCCCCTCCGATCTCTGTGGTTTTGTCTATCAGGCTAATTGCTTTTCTTGTGATTCTCTCATTGCTTTTGCAAAATTCCTTTGACAAAAATAATCCCCGATCATCATGACACATCTTCCCACCACATTCTCAATTTTTCTTTTTAAAGTAACATTTCAATGAGGATCTTCAAGCAGTTTGGCCATCACATCTGTCCTCTGATGGAGAAGGATAGAGAAGGATAGACTTGAATTCGGGAATGGTTGCCGATTCCCATTGTATCTGTGTATTCGTTCCAGGGCAGAAAAAAACTGCCCCTTGATCACACCAACAACTGTGAAATAAACGAGGATGCCAGAAATGGCCCCTAATCCTGCATGTTGACCCGTGGCTGAAGCTGAGTTTAAGGTGTTATACAGGAACCCTGGGCTTCACCATCAGCCAATCCCCTCCTCTCTGCAGCAAGCTGGAGAGGTGCTGCGACTGCTGCTGAATGCGAGGCAGAAGTGAGACGCTGAGCCTAGCATCCTTCTGCAGCCTGGATGGAAGAGGAGGGAGGAGAGAAATATGACAGAATGAGTTTTTACTTTTCAGGCTTTTATTCCAGTATTAAAGTTTTATTAGAGACAGTATTGGTAGTAGTAGCTTTAATTTCTATATAAAAGTCATACAAAGGACTCCATGAAGTTAAGTGGGTAGGAGAGGTGGTTTGCTTGCGATACGACTGTACTGGTAAGAAATGGAAGTTACTTTCACCCCTGCCTTGAACTCCCTTCATCTCCTGGCTCTTGCTGCAATCTTATTTCCCCCCTCTTACAGTTACTGTATTTCACAATGGTCTCTCCTTCACACACTCTTCACCCTTTGACAATCCCAAGTAATGTGGGGGGAATCACTATCTCTTCTCTTCCTTTCCGCCCTTTCTGTTTGATTTTGCAACTCTCCTTCTGACTCTATACCTCTTTCCCCTCAGATAGCTGTAAATGACCACTCCCATGAATCCTCCTTGTCAACCTTCCTTTATTATTTTATCACCTCGCTCTTCCTCTACTCACAACCACTGACTTTCAATTTTAGCAACTTCAGCTGTCACATCAACATCCAAACCAACTCTCCTTCAGCCTCCTGCTTCCCTGCCCTCATCTCCATGTTTGACTTTCAACTCCTACTGACCAAAATAGCTATTTACTCAACATTATGATGAGTGGCCACTGCTCTCTCATGGATCTCTCATTAGGTGAGTTCCCTCTCTCTGACCACTGACTCATCTCCTTCGGCCTCATCCACCTGCCTCCTGATGCCCACATCGTATTTCCTGGACCTTTATTCCATCAATGTATATGTATACATGTGTGTATAGATGCATATATTAATTATATTAGAGCAGTATTTCTAAGAAGTGTAAAAATATTAACAAATGCATCAGGAGTGTAATGTGGCCAAAGAAAATTATATCCAAGTCATACTCAGCACTTTATTTCACTTGCTATAACAAGATGATTACCCTATATGGAAGCACACAATTAATTAATACACTAATGCTTTTTCTGCTTCCTAAATATGAGGAACCTTTCACCCACTCCAAAAGGAAATGGTCTTTCTGTGGTTAATAATAATCAATAGTGCTCTATTTTCCATATTCCATTATATAAAATATTCATGGAATATCTTTCATTTTAATTAAAATATCTTCAAAGCCAAGTGTTTAGTTATTTCTGGTCTTTGATCCAGTTCAGGATGACCCATGTTGGAAATAACTTGGCCATTTAAGTATAATTGGCAGTTATGTCAATAATAGATTAAGAATTCATGGAATAGAGAATGACTGATCTATCTATGTAAAAACATATTTAAATATTGTAGTGTATAGGAATTGGATATTATCCTTTTGAATAGCTAGTGGCACTCACTGTCTTCTACTTTTCAGAAGCTACCAGAACACAGTCAGAGCAGAAGTTTACATCAGTAGCTAGTCGTTGCATGTTGTATATACTTAGTAAACATGGTTATTTACAGTTTAACAAGCAAAAGACTATCTATCTATCTAAATTATTGCATGAAGAAAAAAGTACTAAAAATATCAAACTGTCCCTCAATCTAGCTGATTTCTTGTAGATGTCATTTAGAGGTGTGTTTGAGGAGAAGAGGGTAATGGAATTGGGATCAGTTCAAGGAGAGCATTCCTCGTATAAGGGCCAGTGTGCAAGAAAGCACAGAATGTCTGAGTAAGAAGCTGATAAATGGTCAGATAAGTTTAGAATCATTGGCAGATCAGAGGAAGTGTGCATGTTCTTGGGGGTGCCGGTGATAATATGATGATACTAGAGTAGAAACATGATGGGTAAGTTGTGAAGGGCTTTGAATATTAAGATGGGTACTTGAATGTGCTGCATTGAAACAGGGATGCTAGTGGAGGACAATGGGGTCATAGGGGCTTGTATGGAAGATAAACTTAGAAACTGTATTTTGAATGGAATGCCTATGAAGGATGTGAGTATCCAGGGGGCCAGAGAGGAGGAGACTGCAGTAATAAAAATGGGAAATGAGAGCCTGGATGAGAATTTTAATTGTCTGGACAGAAAGAAAGCAGTGGATTTTAGAGTTATTATGGAGAAAGAAACAGTCAGATTTATGTTCAGCCTGGATATGTGTGTCGAAAGAGAGAGAGGAATTAAAAATGAACTATAGGTTATGGACTTGATTATCAGGTAGATGGGCGTACCCCATAAGGCTTTATGGGGGGACGTTTATAAATGTATGTATGATATAACTGGCTGTATGCTTGCTTGATTT